AATTTAAAAAAAAAAAAAAAAAAAAAAAAAAAAAAATTATTTAATTTATTTCCCATCACTGCTGCAATTATTAGGGGTTGGTACATTGAGATATAAATAGCTGGTGGCGGTAATTTTCCAGTTAGGTGCCATTAAAACAATTCAGAAAGTGTGCAACAAGATGATGTATTTAAATGAGCATCAGTCAAACTTCAAAGTGAAAGCATTGTGAGAAAACACAAAGGCAATATGAATTTATGTTCGTGTCAATAATTCATTTGAGGAAGGTTTCAGTTTTTCACGGTACCAACTTTTCCACCAGCCAAAAGTTAAAAACAGGTGGATTTTATTTCTCTGTTGCTTTTAAAAGTCGCCTATGCAGTTCGTCTGATTTACGTTGGTACATTGTTTGCAAATTGATATGCAAAATGAGATTACGCTGGTAAATTCCTTTTTATGAGTGAAACGGAAGATGTGAAGTGTGTTTTAGGGTAAGTTGTCCACTGTACTGGAGCCTGACGGGCAGCCTGAGAGTGAAGTAAACTGGATGCCTGTGTTGTCTTTGTAGAGGTCTCTCTCTCGGTAGCTTCTAACACCTTGGTCTTGAGTGAGAGAATGCACTGTCTGTAAAAGTTGTGTGTGTATGTGGGGGTTACCTCCCACAGTGCTGAACAGAAATCAATTAGTTTGGTGAATGTGTGGGAGCGAGCCCCCTCAACCGCCTTTGTCACGATGTGTTGAAAACACTGCTACCACTGAATACTTACACCTCACACGCGGCAAACACACACACACACACACACACACACAACACACACATCACACACACCACTGGAGGCTGAACCAGCAGTGGACACAGCACACACAGCGCGCAATGAAGAGGGGTAATATTGTGTAATTAAGGATTCCTTTCAGGCTGAGGGAAGTTCAAATAGAGCTGTTTGTCTGGCCAGATAGAGTGAAAGCTCTGCACCTCTGTGTGTGTGTGGTGTGTGTGTGTGTGTGTGTGTGTGTGTGTGTTTGCGCCAATATACATGTATGTGTGTTGGCGTCCTAAGCTAGGACCGCAGAGAATTAATCATTAGCGAAATACTCCTGTCCCCCCACCTCATCCCTACATTATCAATAAACAGCACCCTGAGAATGGCAAACACTTGTTGACTCCTCACTCTCTCCAACACTCATAACACACACACACCACACACACACACACACACTGTTTCAGTCCTTTCCTCCTCTGTCCCGCTGTCTTTGGCAAAATGAGAGATTCGCTTGTTTCCTGAACCACCCAATTCTTCTTTTTTTTCTCCTTTTTCTTTAAACCCCTCCCATCTAAACACCGTTGCCATGGCATTTTAACAAATTATTGCAATTACCCTCGTCATGCGGTCGCCCCTGAAACGGCTGAGGGGCAAGAGAAGAAGGGGGAGGGAGGAGAGAGAAAGGGTGAATGAAGACCAGAGAAGGTGATAATCCTGTTTTGAACAAAAGGTCAATTTGTTGAATAGAGAGCTTTGATTAAGCGGAGGAGGTACAAGTGGAACCGTTTGAGCTCTATTCAGTGGTGTGGTGTGTGTGTGTTGTGTGTGTGGTGTGTGTGTGTGTGTGTGTGGAGAGAGAGTATGTTTTGAAGTAGACCGATTTAAGGTCTATTCATTTAGAGCTGGAAGTGTTGACTGCTGAAGCACAAAAAAACTTAGAGCTCTTTCTTAGTGTTAGTGTGTGTGTGTGTGCAGGTGGATTCCTCTTGGTACAGGAGTCATGTCAAAGTCTCCTCTTACTAACATTAACAAAAAAGATGAAACATTTATAGATTAGCAGATGACAGAACTTTTTTACGATTAAGTCATTTTTTAATTTCACAGTTTTTTATTCTCAAATGTGAAATACTTTGCAATTTGAAGACTCAGCTTTGGGCTTTTGGAATTGTGAAGGACATTTCAAACTAATTTCTCACCCTTTAGTAGAACTAAACGATTAATCAATTAATTGAGAAAATTATTATTAAGATATTGATAACTGAAAAATGAACAATTCGATGCACCCCGATTAACAATACCTTACCAGAAATACTAAAAGAAGTTCAGACAAGGACTAACTAATGATATTTTTCTGAATCCTGTTAATCTTTTATGTCATAAAATGTAAAAGAAAATAGTGAAAAATGCTAATATAATTGAGTAGCTGCTTTTAAGTCTAACAGGAAAAAAATATTCTTCAAAACGATAAACGTGTCTGGAGGGGGATTTTAAATTTTGGGTCCTGCCCATGAAAAAGTTACTTCCACCAAAATTTAGTTTGTAATTAATGGACAGTATAGGGTACCTGCTGCTGCCTCCGTGTTGACATTTTAACAAGTTTAGGAAAGCTGGCCTGTGTGAATTGGTTCTGTTACATCGGTCTCGTAATAAGACAGAATTTTGTTTCTTGGGTCATTCAATAAAATTTTGCCAAAACTTCGGGGTGTCCAAAAAACAAGTGTCCAATCATCGTGCACCAAACATGTATATATTATATATAATAAATATTATATATTATATATATATATATAGTTAAATTATATATATATATATATATATATTTGAACGTTCACACAATGTTCCCTCTTACATGCAGTGAAATGTTCACAGTGTGGACTCAGCTGTCATTAAGAATAGCCGCACTGCAACACGAGCAGGCTGACGAAACACATTAAAGACAGGATTGGATTTTGGTCGTCTTTATTTTAGCCGATTTAGCGGATCCATTAAAATATTCCCCAATCAGCCCTGATTTTTATGTAAATGTGACTGCATTCGCAACCATTTTGTAACCAGGTTGTTGACACTTGTTGATGCATCAATCTGCTATGCTGGCAACATCCTTATTAATTGGATTGGGTATCAGCCATGACATGACTCACTCACATAAAATACAGTTTCTGTGTTAATGTTATTATAAAATGCAATGTTTCTGCTATCAGTCACAAGGATTATTGTGGCACTAAAGAAGTGACTCAGTGGCTCCCTACGCTATATTTCACTTCGAATGGGTTTCATACAGTGAGGTAAACAGATTTTAATCTTTATCTGAAGCTCGCTATCGACCACAAAACGTTTTTGCCACAATATTTTTTTATTATTAACATTAACATTGTGCGTCCCCTTCCCCTTCCCCTTGTGTTTAATCTGTGTTGGTCTGTGTGTGTTTCCTCCACAGTACTCCGAGAAGGCCCTGTACAACCAGCTGTGCTTCTACAGGTTCATCTTTGACTGGGATTATGCTGCTGCCAAAGTACTTCAGGGTGATGAGAGAAGTAAGACTGCACACACGTACATGTTTTCTTACACTTCTGTTGGGTCTTGTACATAACTTTCAAAAGTCTTCTTTTATTTGTTATGTGATTAATTCCCAAAGGTTTGTGCAGTGCTAGTTGTGAAAACAGGCCTGCTTCTTTAAATTAAAATGTATTCCTTTTTCTTTTCTTTTTTTGCAGTTTTTTTTGTTGTTTTTTTTTTTTGCAGTTTTTATTATTCGGTAGTACCGCCTTTTGGAACAGAAATCAAGTTACTAGAACAGCTATTGAAGTTTGAATTTTGATGTTCTAACAATGCTTCCTCACAAATACGCATACAACATAGCATTAGCAATCAATGGCTCAACGTAAACCTTTTACCCAGGCTACACTTACAATATTCACCAATGATGTGACACACACACACACACGCACGCACACAAGTAGCAGAGGATGGGCATTGGATATGGGGAGGGGGGTTAAGGACATTCAGCTCCTCGAGTCGACAGCCCTAATTTAGGAGACGGATTCAATCACACACACATACAGAATGCAAAACGCTCCAATCACTGGAAGAAAGAAGGAAAGAGCTCTCAATCGCTCTCCCTCTACCCCTACCCTGACTGTCCATCTCTACTGCTTTCTCTCCTTTGCTCTCTCTCTCCTTTCTCTCTCTCTCTCCCCCTCTCTTGGACAGGCACTCGTTTGGCTGTGTTGATTGAAAACAGGTTTTAGATTTGGGGAAATGATAGGGGGAGTAATGGGCGCGCTGACGAAAGGATAGCCCTTCTCCTATAATGGGACATGGAGCGTATATTTCCCCCCTTGGACTCAAATAGACGCTACTCCAGCGCTCTGGGCGCGCTCAGTAGGCGTCAGCCACAAGGCCTCTTTACCCATAGTTCTCCCTGATTGATGTCACTTGATTAGAAAGGGCCGCTGGGCCGAGTGATTTATTTATTTGATTAAATATTTATGTATGTATGTTATTTATGTATGTATGCCTGAATGCTACGAGTATGTGTGCCAGCCAGGACCCGAGTGAGGCAGCGAAAGAGTGAGACAGCAGAGGTAAATATAACGTGTAATCAACAGATGACCACTCAGAAGATGGAGGGAGCTGAAATAGAGGGATTGGACCGGTGTAGAGGAGGGGAGGGGGGCGGAGGGAAGGAGTACTAACATGATTATAGCCTCCATTTTTGCTTTCTTTTATTTCTGTCTTTGCCCAGATGCAAGAAATCATCGCCAATCAATTCTTGACTCTCCTCTTTTCTTTATGTTCCTGTGCTTTGCAGTGTTTTTGATCTGCACCGGGCTTTCTCTTCCTGAGATTCAGCCTTGTTTTGTGCCTCGCAACACAATACGGTACATTCTGTACTTAAAGCATTGGAAATGTGAGCTCACAGTTCACTTTACATACAGAAGGCAAAGTGCACGGTGCTCACTATACAACACATGACATAGTTGTGGAACAGTTTAGCATCTTGTCTCGTGATGACAGCAAGCATTCTGTCGTCCACTGACACCAGATCAGTGACTTTCAACAGGAATCATACATTTCACCTGCGCTGTCTGTCCACTTACTGTTTCAAAATCAGACACGCTTTAAATGCCAAGTGTTAACCTGACCGACAATACTGTAGACCAGTGGTTCCCAACATTTTGAGAATGCGTGTGTCTATGTGCAGCCAATCAGTGATTTTGGCCTTCCAGATTGGCTGGTTTAGTAATTTGTTTTAATTAAAACTTTTTTTGACCTTTTTATTCCTTCCCTGTCCTGTTGTGTTCGTATTCCCTCACATTTATCTTGCGACCCGTAGGTGGTCCCCGACCCTCATGTATGAAATGTATGTGAAATTCTTTCACACACCCAGTACCAGAGCTCATTAATAGCATAGACATTCTGCAAACATTCAGACTTCTTACTGTCAGATTTATTATTAGTGTATATCTCTTTTAATATTGAAGTCTAAGTGTTTCCTGTAGAAAGCAAACAATGTAGCTGCAGCTGTAGTGAGAAGTCTACTGAATGTGAGTTTCCTCTTGAGACGGTAAGAAAAGTGTCTCAGTGAAGCGAAGCGTCACAGATTAGGGGACAGACAGGACGGATTGGATCACTCACCAGCTGTGGGCTTTAACCACCACTCCATATCCAGACACCAACATGTTTACTTGTTACTGTTTCTGTCAGATGAGAAACGACTTAACTTCCCTCTGTTCTCTGAGGTGCCAGTCCATTAAATCATCACCCTTCCTGTTTGATGGGTTGGTTTCCCTAAACACAAGACCTCCGCTTACCCAACATTGTCCCTAAAATCTGGCTGAAACACCCAGTACTGCTCTGCAACCAGCGTTCAGCACTGCCTAGAACAGCATTCACAGCAAGTTCCCCCTGACTTGATGTCACTGTTTGTAAATGTGTAAATATGTAGCAATATCAGACTGATGTAAGTTGCATTTAAATATGTTTTCAGTAACATCAAGCAAATCATTATTAATGACAGACTAAATTAATTATATTGCTGGTCGTTTGCTTTAAGTGATTGCTAAGTGGTATAGCACACTTAAAGTTACAGTTAAACATGCATACATAATATAATGTATTAATATAATATACATAATGCCATGATTATTCCATCATTCCCGGTCCAACAAATAACTTTGGGAGCGACAGTGACTCAATCTGTGGGAACTTTGTAACTGGAGGGTCGCTGTTTCAAGTCCAGCATGGCTGTCGAGGTGCCATTGAGCATGGCAGTGAACCCCCAACGGCTCCTGGGGCGCCAATACATAGCAGCCCATCACTCCACTATCTCTCCACATTTACATAAGCTATATATGTCTATAAGCTCTGTGTGTGTAAAAACCTTGAGTGAATAACCTTCTTCTAATCTTCTAATGGAGAAAGTTAACAGCATAGCACCTGAAACCCTCCATAACTGAACTCTGAACACTTTTTTTGTAAGTACAAATGACTATTTGTTCGCATTTAAAGATACTGATTACTGACTGATATGATTTTACAATTTGTAATACCAAGAGGGAGATATTTGAGCCCACAAATAACGTCTCGTGTTCTAGTTTTACTTAGAAAATGACCTGGCATGTTTTTTTATCCAGCCAGGAGGTTGTATTTATGGCAGATGTTCGTTTATCAGCAGGTATGGATCATTGTGTTGTCGTTAAAGGTTTACAATATGCTATATCTGTTAATCCCGTCTGGTATCACTGACAAACCAGTGTCTCCACCAAATCATTAATATCCAGCACAGACTCATTCGACTGTGTTCCTCAAATGGAGGAGGATGCATGTACACACACCCTCATGCTGCTATAAAATATAGGTTTAAGGTGTTATCCCTCTGTCCTGGGGCAGTAATACCCCATATTACTGCATTACACACCCAGGGGCCACACTGCTCGGATTACAGGGAGGAGACATAGAATCCTATACACCCTACTCTACTCTGTTGTGTGTGTGTGTGTGTGTGTGTTGTCCCTGTGGGAGTGTGTGTGCATATAGACTTATAGATATTTATGAGCACTGTTTGTGTATGTACACCATCTCACCTTCATATTATAGTGTTGCCTTTGTGGTGGTGATGGTGCTGTGTGGTGAATGTAAATGGCTTAATCTGCTACTAGAAGAGCTGCTTAGAAATTATGCCAGCAACTTGAATTTTCAAGTGCAACTTGGCCTTCTTCCATTATTTAACATCATGAACCGTTCATTCTGGTCATCAGTGGTCTTGGTATATGGCTTTTGTTACGGGAATAAAGAAATACTATTGTCTAGACTGTATTTTTTTTTTTTCAACTACTACTACTATAGTCTGTGTAGCCAAAGCCTGATATATATTGTGTATCCCTCTGTGCCATAGACTCAAATAGACTAAAAACACACCAGTGACACACACTGTTGCACAGGGTGACATGTTACTTCATTGTGAATGTCATTTTGAGGTAATCCAACATCAACATTAGTCAACAAATGGGTGATTTCCTCTTGTTTGAGCATCGTTTGCTAAAATCTACAGTGTTAGGAATTATTCTTTTTTTCTTTTTATTCAAATATAGTATTTTTTCATACATCTTCACTAGGAATGAATGGCCTTTGTGGTGGGGGCATTTTCAAAGCTATAGTCGGGGTACAAAATTAGCACCAGCCAAATTCTGGTAAAATATGCAAGTGGCTAGTAGATTGGCTTCATTCTTGAGCCAACAAATCAATCTATTGATTGGCTGGTAATATTCACTACTGGCAAACGGACAAAAAAGTAAATTTTGCACCCTGGCTACAGTTTTCTGCAGTGTACGTCTTGTAGTTGGGTCAGATCGAGTTCGGATCAACATTCCCCACCACGAACGTCTGACCTGGACTGGGACCACTTCCTCTAAAGGGTCTCGGTGCAGTTCTTCTGGTCTTCTGAAAACAAACCTCTTAATTCCTATTCAACCAGACTACACAGAGCCATAGACAGGCTGAGGAAGTCTGAAAGTTTTGAGAAACGACTCAGCTTTTGGTCTTTTTATGAAATGTATTGACAGTAACTATATGGAATATTACAGTAGTGCAGCCAGATTGTTTGGATGATATCTGGGTATTTATGGTTCACCCGGCAACTCAGAAAAGTCTGAATGTGCGTGTTTACATGTGTACTGAACACACAATAAAGCACGTTAAAGAAAAATAGCTTCACACAAAAGAGCTCTGAGTTGTCCTGAATGTAATTTGATCAGCTTGAATGTTAGCGTGTGCGCTGCAGTGTGCGTATGCACGCGCACGCACCTTTTGCGAGCCAGCGCCTGTCTTATCTACATGTACATTGCATTTTTGTGCCTGATTGCTGCGACTGAGTAAAACATGGAGGTAATTTCATCCGCTGCAGGAGATCTCTAATAGATTATACACACACTATGAAAAAACATGCTGTCCGTCCCTTAGCTGAGAACATCCCGTATCAATGACTTTCAAATCATTTCATGTCACTTTTCTTCTCTCCATCTCCCTGTTCTCC